ACGGCATTCCTCGTGGCCATTACATCAGCCAGGAGAGTGAGTGATATCTGTGCCTTAAGAGTTGATGCACCATACCTCCAGTTCTACAAAGAAAAGATGGCCCTCCGACCGGACATTACATTCCTCCCGAAAGTTGTCTCAAAATTCCATTTATTATAGGACATTTCTCTACCGGCTTTTTTTCAGAATCCCTCTTCGCCGCTGGAAACTACCCTGCACTCTCTGGACGTCAGACGTGCCCTAGCTTTCTACACCAGCAGGACAGCTCCCCACAGGAAGTCAGTGAGGCTATTTTTGAAATATCGCAAAGATTCCTTAGGGTTACCTGTGTCCTCCCAGCGTCTTGCCTCATGGATCGTCTCAACCATCAGATTAACCTGCTAGCGAAGTGCAGATCCATGCACTCTCCACAAGAGCAGTGTCGACTTTACAAGCTTTCCTGAGGGGCATCCCGATTGATGACATATGCAAGGCAGCGACTTGGTCCAACCCTTCGACGTTCGCTGCTCATTACAAGCTAGATGCCAGGGCGAGAAAGGATGCTGCCTTCGGCCGAGCGGTGCTGTTTTCCTGTGTCGCATGACCCCACCTCCGAAGGTTAGTAGCTTACTAATCACCCATTATGTGCGTCTTTCACAGACTACACGAAGGGGAAATGCAGGTTGCTTACCTGTAACTGCGTTTCCTCGAGTGATAGTCTGTGAAATTTGCACATCTCCGCCCTTCCTTCCCGCGATGGTCATGCTTGTTCTATAGCTGCTGATAGCGGCTGCGGAACTGAGCCGAGGCTCCCGCCTTGAGCATTTATAGTATTGGGGAGTGTGGGCGGGGCGTCTGCCAAAAATTTCCATTATAATATTCTAGAAGTTTCCGAACAGCTGCGCATGCACAGAACAAAACCCATTATGTGCGAATTTCACAGATTATCACTCGAGGAAACGCAGTTACAGGTAAGCTACCTGCATGTCTCCCTGCACTTTGAAATCATACAACTGTTTTCCACTGTGCTAAAGCTTTCTGAAGGGCCCCCTGGTGGCACAGCGCATTAAACCACCGAGCTGCTGAACTTGCTGACCGAAAGGTTGGCGATTCGAATCCAGGGAGCGGGGTGAGCTCCTGCTGTTAGCCTCAGCTTCTGCCAACCTAGCAATTCGAAAACATGCAAGTGTGAGTAGATCAATAGGTACTGCTTCTGCGGGAAGGTAGCAGTGCTTCATGCAGTCATGCCAGCCACATGACCTTGGAGGTGTCTACAGACAACGCTGGCTCTTCGGCTTAGAAATGATGATGAGCATCACCCCCTAGAGTCGGATACGACTAGACTTAATGACAAGAGAAACTTTTACCTTTACTTAGAGTTTTCTGTGGGCCACTTGACCAAAATGTTTGGACTACTAGTGGTCCCTGACCATAGTTGACAACTCTGACCTTAGTGACTTAATATGGCTTTACCTCTAACTTGGATTACGTTCTTTATTACATTTGACTTCCCCTCCAATATATTAAATTACATTAAAACCTATCTTTTAGGACTGCGTTTAATATGGGATATCATTAATTTCCATTATGTTCCTGGTCACTGGTTGCTGAATTGATTCAATATAGTTTTAATGCTATTTTATGCCTGCTGTTTTGATTGTGTTATAATTGACTGTCCTATATTATTATGCTTTAGACTGCATTTTTGTTTTTGTTGGTGAATTTTGTTGTATGTTTTGGGCTTGGTCCCACTTGTAAGTCACCCCGAGTCCCTTCGGGGAGATGGTGGCGGGGTATAAAAATAAAGTTAGTATTTTTCAAGTTATTAATAAGATACTGATTTTGTGACTTGCGTAATTATTTGAAAGTGGAAGGGTAACATCAGCTGGCTGTATGCTGCTGTGCTACAGTTATGTAAATCAGGGAAGGATAAGAATAGAAACTGAGTGGGATGGTCAGGTTTAACAGAAGAAAAAAGGGGGCGGCTGTGAGAGTGGCAGCAAAGCTTCTAAAAATGAATGGTTCTGTTCTATGCCTTCTGGTTTCCTTTCATCTGCTGTGGGGTGCATTTCCATCACTGAGGCTAAGAATACATTTGACATCTCGATGTCTTATAATACGCATATTCCAAAGGATGTTTTGTTTAATAGTGGCTTATGCAAGGAAATAACTGTATTCTGACAAATGTGATTGAAAGTTGCTTTAAAGAAGGTGCTGGGCTGCATGACCCGTCTTCCCCTTTGATCACCAAGAACTCCAATAGAATATTTGACTTTGGTATATGAATACACAAATGGTTTAGTTTTCTAAATTACCTTGGACTCCATGCAGGGAGAAAAGCAGTGTATACAATAGATAAAATATGGATGGATGGATGGGTAGATAGATATTGTAGCTAGATATGTGGGTGGGTAGATATATGGGTGGGTGAGCGGATGGATGGATAGGTAGATAGATAGGATAGGTAGTAGATAGGTAGATAGATGGTAGATAGATATGGTATGTAGGTAGGCAGAGAGAGAGAGAGAGATAACACTGGTCACCACCACACATTTTGGTGCTTCAGATGTTAGCCCTGTTTCTTGGGTATGTTTGACCTGCTGATTCAAACAATGGCACCAGTTTTCCCCATTCAGCTCTACTTTTTGAGATACAGAACCTATAACTAACAACAAATTATTTGCTACCTACCTCTCCTAATGGCTTGAGGCAAGCTACAACACAATCAAAACATGTCAACATAAAATATATACAACAAAAATAATACATATATCAAAACATAGGGCACTAAGATACAGCAGCAGTATAGATGCTATATATCACTCTTCTTCACTCTGCTTTCCCATAAGAAATTAGTCCTCCATAGGTGATGCTGTTCTCGACAGCGCTTCTCTTCAAGGTTTTAGGAATGAGACAAAATCAGAACAAGAAAGATGGTCCCTTAGTTGATCTGTTTAGGGCTTCAACTGTTAAAATTAGCACTTTTTCAGAAAGTTGTGGGCTCATCTTCAATGGAGGTCTTTCAAGAGAAGTCGGGAGACCATCTTTCCAGAACCCTTTAGTTGTGTATTTTGTCACGAGCATGCCATTTCTTTACAGTAGTGATGGTGTATTGGTGTTCATGGCCTAAATCCAATTCTGCTCCCATCTAGAGTAGAACCATGGATTTGGTTGCTAAATAGCAATGCAACACTTCTGTGAAACCTGTGGATTTTGGTTAGCTTGAGACTGTCAGTTGGATGTAGGCCTGTGTTACACATTTGATCTTTCCTTGGAACTATTTTTGGTCTGCTTGTTATGAAATTTTAGATTAACTTGGAATGCTAAGTCTATGCAGCGCCTATCCACAAACAAAAAGGAGAAAGCTTCCCTTTAATACAGTACTTCCCAAGCTTTGGTCCTTTGTGTGTTTTGGACTTCAACTCCACCAAATACAAGCCATCTTATCAGCTATTTGGAATTGTGGAAGCTGAGGTTCAAAACACATGGAGGACCAAAGCTTGGGAACCACTACTTTAATAACATAGACATTTGACTGTTGAGCCCAATACTGTCAACATTGATAGGCAAGGATTCTCCTGTGCCTTGGGTAAAGTTGTTTCCTACCCTGCAGGGGCTACTTTTCCTATATTCTGATTCTTCTAAAAGTGCTCGTTGGTTCCCTTTGCATTCCTTGTTCACCCCCAAAAACCTGTCTGAAACACTGAAGTGGAAAATAGAGAGAAAAAATGTTCCAGTCTCACTGTTGTTGAATATTGAAGTGCACTGTCACCCTTCTTCTTTGTTTGGAGATATTGGTATCACATCTGGGATTTTATGCTTGCAACAGATGTTTTCCCTTAAGCCATGAACTCTTACCTGCATCAGTTAAAAGAAGAATTGTCCAAATTTGGCATTCAGTTACCAAGAGTTTATCTCCTAAGGATGGGCATACAGCTGTAATTTTTGTGTTTATGTTGACAGTTCCTAGTGGTATTTGCCTCCAGCAATAATATGCCTATTAGGATAACTATTCCGAAGCTGGGGAGAGTGTTGGAGCTGACCCATTTTAATGTATTTTCTACTAGCAGATTGGTGCCAACCTTGTAGGTAATTCTTTTTTTGGCCCCAGCAGATAATTTATCCCTGGCTGGGCTGAGATGGCTGTCAGCGGAGGAATGTGGAGTATCTTGAGCCAAACACAAGCGAATTCCACAAATAGTACAACTGTCTGGGCTGCAAGATTGACATGCCACCTGCTTCCTCCCGCTGTCTAATTGCTGAAATCCATTTTTCGTGACATTTAAAAAGAGCTCCTTACCTTGGTTTAACATCAGCATTTGGAGATAAATTTACAATTCAATATGTTTAATATTTTTTCTTAGCTGTGAATAAAATCCCTTCCCTTGTTTCTGCTAAAAGTTATTTTTTAACTTGTTGCTTGCAACAAGTGTGGCGTAATACTTGCTGAGAACAAACTGCTTATATCTTTGTATGCTGGTTTCAATGCATTTCTGGCCTATGTTAAAGCGGCTTTGTACAACTTAGTGTGGATTGTGTGATAGGATTTTCAGGATGGCTTTGATTCACTGATTATATTGCACCATCCACCTTCAGACATTTCTGAGTTGCTACCTCTTGAGGAAATGTATGAGTAGCTCATCCAGTCTTACATTTACAAAAATGTCTTTTAACTTCTTTCTTTGGAATTGTCAGACTCAAAAGTGAAAGCTTCCTAATTATAAGACATACTAGTATTATAAGGCTGAGGAAACTTCACCTTTATTGTACTTTACGTTTTGACCTAAAGCCCCTGAGTGAAGTTCACGAGAAGGTGGGATTGCAACCCTCATCTTCTGATCTAAAAACACAGATGTTCTTCTAGAATGCTAAAAAGTTCTATTTATTGTTTTAATTTTGGTATTGCAGCTAGTTAAAATGGTTTCTTCAATTTAAGGATATGTGAGTGAGTCTAAACATTTCTATTTTGCTGTATTAATTTCTAGTGTAAAATAAGCATTTGTACATTGTTTTGCTTTCAGTCTTGACCAGTCTTTGGAACACAGAGAGTGAATTTACCATCCCAGAGCAAAAACAAGCAGAGAATAACGAAGAGCTAGCGAACTCATATGAAAGAAAACTGGTTGAGGTAAGAATGGAAATAAGTAAAGTCAGAGAATACAGGTTTTGTGAAAGTTGGTAAATAGCTTCCAAATCTCGCTAGTATTTAATTGCGTTTTTAATCTTACCTTGTTTCAAAGGTTGAAATAACTCTGTTAGAAACAGAACGTTAATGTGTTTCAAGTTTTAGCATCTGATTTGGTTTTCTTGTAAGCACAAACAGAGAAGAACTGAGATTTTTAAAAACCTGTTTTGCTTTGGGATTCAAAAGAAGTAGTGGTGAGGCGACCTACTAAAGAACTGCAGTACTATTTAGTGGGCTGCAATCAGTTTACATTTTTAGTAGGGCTGGGACTTTCTTCCCCTTTTATTGCTGTAGCCTTTCATGTCCACATTTTTTGTTGGAAATAGCAACCTTCTACAAGCTTCCTATACTAGTTATTTGTTATGTATGTAATTCAGATTGCCTCCTGGATTGTATATGTATATGTGTATTGTACGCATTTTTCCTTAACTCTGTGTTGTGGGAGGGGCTGCATACCATGTGACAAGATCTGGGACTGTTCAGATCTCAGACTCCATTTTAGAAGTCAGTAGAAACAGAATGCTTTAGAGCAGTGGTTCCCAACCTGTGGGTCCCCAGATGTTTTGGCTTTCAACTCCCAGAAATCCCTGATAAATGAGCTGGGATTTCTGGGAGTTGTAGGCCAAACACCTGGGGACCCACAGATTGAGAACCACTGCTTTAGAGACTCCTTTAGACTTCCAGACTATACAGACTCTATTAGACTCTCAGAACAGAAAGATGCTTTAGACTTTGGACTGTTAATTATAAGAAAGATGTCCTGTGTTATTTGCACAGAGAACCCACTTTTAACCTATATGTAACTGGATTGATAAGAAATATACCTGTATGCTGAATACATGAAGTTTTTGAGTAAACCAGATATGTTACTTTTAAAGAAGTCTACTTATTTTGGTCTCTTGAGAGCATGATTTAAAGCAATATGTTTTAAGGGAGAGTAGATGTTTTAGGGAAACTGAAAAGAACACTTCTGAAACTGCTGTTTTTTGGGCATTGGCATATCTTTGTTCCTGACACCTCAAAGAGATATCTAGGCATATCAGTCTAACAGCTGAGAAACCCAATTGCCTTGCATGAATGCTAGTAGATATTTACCACTAAGGAGAAAGTTGACTCGAGGGAGGTTTTAACTTTTCTCAGGAAGATCATATTTTAGAAAGGTTACAAATATTTTAGAAAGGTTACAATCTCTAACTGGCTCGTGCCTTTCTAAAAGATTCCGATTTTCCCAAAAGGTTTCTCCAGAGAGTTTCTCATTTCTTTTCATTGTTATTGATTTTATCCAGTTGACTTTGACTTATGGCAAGACAACAAAGGAGATAAGTTCAAGTCGCCCTATCATTAATAGCCCTGCTTTGGTCTTGCAAACACTGGGCTGTGGCTTCCTGGATCAAGTCTATCCATCTGTAGTTTTCATCTTTTCCTTCTGCTTTTAACTTGTCAATTATTACAATATTTTAGAATGAGTCACATTTTGCAATGTGACCAGAGTATGACAGTCTCAGCTTGGCTTCTAGGGAGAGTTCCAGCTTGAATTGCTCTAGGATAATTTATTTGTCTTTCAGCAGTTACATTGTCAGGATTTTATTTACATTTGATGGCAGAAGTTCAAAAGTAACAAGTTGGAGTTAGGTTTTGCTTTGAATGGATCTACTCCAAATAAATCTGAATATAGTTTATTGCGTACATTTACAACTGGATAAATTTCAATGTGTAGTTATTTCCCCAAACACTGGCTTTTGTGTGCAGTTGCTAAGAATGTAAGACAAATATTAATAGTTTTTGGATCACATCTTCCAGATAAGCCCGACTTTGTTGCCAAAATCTCACAACTATTAAACATCTTGGATGGACCAGTGAGAAAAGTCATTAGAGACTGTTTTATGTTTTGCCAGAAACATTGATTGGAAAACCATGGGGCTAAATAAGGTTTTCATTGAATTGACAAATAATCATGATGATAAACAATATGCTTGTTATATTCAATGTTTGCCATTCTGTGTTGCATATTGTGTATTGCATATTGGGCATTTCAAAGCTGTACCTCGTCATTGGTTTATGTTGTGCCATATTGCTCTTCTACTTGGAATAGTGTAGATCTGGCATAACATGTGGATATTTATGCAGATTGAGCAGCCCTTATGTACAATTCCAAAATTTGAAATACTCCAAAATTGTCCACATGGGTGACTCAGATAATGACGTATATACTTTCTGATGGTTCATTGTACACAAACTCTATTTTAAGCACATTTTAAAATATAAAGATAGGATAGAGAGAGAGAGAGAGAGAGAGAGAGAGAGAGAGAGAGAGAGAGAGAGAGATAGTAAATATAAAATTACCTTCAGGCCAAGTGTATCCGAAGCATCAATCAGTATCCATTTTGACTTGGGCCCCATCCCTAAGATATCTCATTTTGTATGGATATGAAAATACTGATATTATAGAATTTGGAAAAAAAACCCACATTTTGGATAAGGCATTCTCAATCTATACTACATTGAAGTATTGTTGACTTTTAGGCAATATCTGTTTTTATATCTACATTGAGATCAATTGTTGCAAATTGGTTTGGGTGGGAATGAGGGAGGATAAACAAATATTCAAAGCACTTGTGAATGTTAAGTTCATATAGTATATTGCAGAAGTATGTACAACATTTAGACTTTGTCACATTTTGTTGTATTGCAACTTGGAATAGAAATTGATTGAACTGGAGCTATTACTATTACGACTTAAGGGACACAAATTACCATATATGCTTATGTATAAACCGAAGACAGGTTTTGGGACCAAAATTTTGTTTTTGATGTGACCCATGCATAAGTCAAGATCATTCCATGGCGAAGGGGAAAGTGTCAGCGTCATCTCAGGGAGGCAGCTGTCACCACCATTTCCCTTCCCAGGTATTCAAACCATACTGGAGAGAATAGGTTCTCCCAGGATGGACTAAGCTTTCACCTTTGGCCATTCAGCAAAGGGGGTGGCTCCTTTTACATAAGAGTTGTAGTGTTTACATTGACCCATAGGTCAGTCAACCCAGTTTTTTGGGGTTGATAATTTTACTAACATTTCTAGACCTATACATGAACATATAGGATTTTTAATACTGTGAAGGTGCAAAATATTTTAAAGTTTCATAAAAGGTAAATAACCAAAACAAGCTGGCACTTGTTGGTTAAAGAAGTATTCACCTCCTCTGCTGTAACAGGATAGTTCCAGTGCCATATGATCTGAGATAAAATGCATCTGTTTCTAGAAAAATTCAGGGTTTGGCTGCCTCAGACTTGGGAAATATTGGAAAACAATGGCTGGCTGTCCAATCCATACCATACACACCCTTTATGCCACTTTCCAGATTCCCTACCCTATCACACACTGGCAAAGGTCCTAATAGTTAACCTCATTCCTTATGACATTGAACTTAGGTTGGTTCCAGTCTACCTTGGATTCCAACACATCTTTGTATAGGTTTTATTTTTAAGAGATTCGTGCCTTGCACTGCAAAGTGAGTTCCTAGGCTGGCAAAAATGTATTGAAATGGGAACATCTTAAAATAAAAGCATTAAGATGGCAACTGTTTAAAAGAATAGCTTTAAACCCATTTGCTGACATTAAATGGATCACATCGTAAAAACCCGGGGAAATGGAAAGAGAACTTAGCTGTAATCAGAGCAAATGCCATTATTTTCTTGAGGAGACCATATTTCAGTTTTGGGCGCTTAACACCAGGAAGACCTTTTCCTAAGCCATAAGCCTCACTTTATAATTTGGGGGTATCAGAAAGAGGGCTTCTTTTAAAGATATTATTGTAGGCTCAAGGACTTTTAGAGGCCAATTGTCCTATGAGCATTCTATTCATAGGCTACAAAAGGATATAAGGGGGGGGGGGGGGGGCAGCATATTAAATTGACAAGAACTGGAAACTAATCAATTTGGCAAGTGTGAGTCTAATGTGATTATAATGCCAGGCCAGTTAACAGCTTTGTAATTGTATTTTGGAGTAATAGATGTTTTCTAACAATATCCAAAGGGAGATCCATGTGGAACACACTGCAGTACTCAAAATCCAGTGATGTTCTCTTCTTCTTTTTTGGCATACAAATTATTTTTAAAAGTTTAAATGTTAAACATTTTAAATGTTTAAATGTTAACAATGTAACAAGCATGATCATCAAGTTTGCAGATGACACCAAATTGGGAGGGATAGCCAATACTCCAGAAGACAGGAACAGAATTCAAAACGATCTTAACAGATGAGAGAAATGGGCCAAAACTAACAAAATTAAGTTCAACAGTGACAAATGCAAGATACTCCACTTAGGCAGAAAAAACGAAATGCAAAGATACAGAATGGGGGACAATGCATGGCTCAAGAGCAGTACGTGTGAAAAAGATCTTGGAGTCCTCGTGGACAACAAGTTAAACATGAGCTAACAATGTCATGCGGCGGCAAAAAAGGCCAGTGGGATTTTGGCCTGCATCAATAGGAGCATAGTGTCTTGATCTAGGGAAGTCATGCTACCCCTCTATTCTGCCTTGGTGAGACCACATCTGGAATACTGTGTCCAATTCTGGGCACCACAATTGAAGAGAAATATTGACAAGCTGGAATGTGCCCAGAGGAGGGCGACTAAAATAATCAAGGGTCTGGAGAACAAGCCCTATGAGGAGCAGCTTGAAGAGCTGGGCATGTTTAGCCTGAAGAAGAGACGGCTGAGAGGAGACATGATAGCCATGTATAAATATGTGAGAGGAAGTCATAAGGAGGGAGCAAGCTTGTTTTCTGCTTCCCTGGAGACTAGGATGCGGAACAATGGCTTCAAACTACAAGAAAGGAGATTCCATCTGAACATGAGGAAGAACTTCCTGACTGTGAGAGCTGTTCAGCAGTGGAACTCTCTGCCCCAGAGTGTGGTGGAGCCTCCTTCTTCGGAGGCTT